TGCCACAGAGCTAGCCCCAAATCAAAGTAACTTTTAAAAACCATGTTAGTGTCTGTTAAAATGCCATAAACCTTGTTTCTTAACTATCTTGTCTTCATCTCTAATACGTATTTGGTTCCTGGTGCTGAGTGTTCAAGGCCTCAGTTAACTCAGCAAACATTTACTGAGTACTTTTGTGCAAAGGCTGTAAGGATAAGACATCCACTCCCCAGTTGAGACATTGTGCAAGATAGTCAACATTTGCATATCCCAGCACCTAATATTTTCTTTGACTTGTTTAGTGTATTTTCCTTTGAGCCTTATATTTTCCAGATACAGGATTCAAATTCTTTGTTGTTTTTTCTAAGCGCGCATGCACACACACACACACACACACACACATTTGCTCTCCACCCCTTCCCAGTTCTGATTTACTTCCTCCTGAGGTGAGGTAGTGGTCCTTCTACTCCAGAGTCAGCATCATTGTTGCCTTGCTGTAGTGGTTTTCTGTCTGAGCTCCTCTGGAGGTTAATAGGTTCATAAGAAATAAATAACTTGGGCAAGTACTTACTTTATACCGAGTTAAGTGGTTTTTAAAAGCCTGATTAATATACAGAGTGTGGCTGATTTTAGAGTGATCATGGACTCTGGAAGCTTTTAAGACACTGTTGGAGGTCTGCAAACTGTTTTTGTGCTGTAATGCTATTAAGACATTTGCTTGTGTCATTCGTTATACAAACGTGGAGTTTTCCAGAGGATATATACCAAGTATACAACAAGGATATATAACACAGATTGAAAGTAGAAGCACATGAAAATTTCATTAAAATATATTATATTAAAATGTAGTGGGTGGGGCTGGCGCTGTGGCAGAGTGGGTTAAGCCGCTGCCTGCAGTGCTGGCATCTCAAATGGGCGCCGGTTCGAGACCCGGCTACTCCACTGGGAAAGCAGAATATGGCCGAAGTCCTTGGGACCCTGCACCCGTGTGGGAGACCTGGAAGAAGCTCCAGACTTCTGGCTTCAGATTGGCACAGCTCCAACCGTTGCGGCCATCTGGGACATGAATCTGTGGGTGGAAGACCTCTTTCTCTCTCGCCTCTCCTTCTCTGTCTGTGTAACTCTGACTTTCAAATAAATAAATAAATCTTTAAAAAAAAAAAAGTGTAGTGGGTTTGTTATTTTGAAAGGGATTATAATACTTATTTTAATGTCTCAATTTTCATTTGTTAGATCAACCCACATTTGGGGTCATGAGGACTTTTTTTTTTTTTTTTTTTTTTTTTTTTAATTTTTGACAGGCAGAGTGGACAGTGAGAGAGAGACACAGAGAGAAAGGTCTTCCTTTGCCGTTGGTTCACCGGCGTACCGCGCTGATCCAAAGGCAGGAGCCAGGTGCTTCTCCTGGTCTCCCATGGGGTGCAGGGCCCAAGCACTTGGGCCATCCTCCACTGCACTCCCGGCCCACAGCAGAGAGCTGGCCTGGAAGAGGGGCAGCCGGGACAGAATCCGGTGCCCCGACCGGGACTAGAACCTGTGTGCCGGCGCCGCAAGGCGGAGGATTAGCCTAGTGAGCCGCGGCGCCAGCCACGAGGACTGTTTAAAAAAAAAAAAAAAAAAGATTTATTTATTTGAAAGTCAGAGTTATACACGGAGAGGAGAGGCAGAGAGAGAGAGAGAGAGAGGTCTTCCATCTGCTGGTTCACTCCCCAGGTAGCCACAACAGCTGGAGCTGCATGATCCGAAGCAAGGACTCAGGAACTTCTTCCAGATCTCCCACCTGGGTGCAGGGGCCCAAAGACCTGGGCTATCCTCGACTGCTTTCCTAAGCCATAGCAGAGAGCTGGATCGGTAGTGGTGCCCATATGGGATGCCGGCGCTTCAGGCAGCTGCTTAACCTGCTATGCCACTGTGCCGGCCCCAGTGAGGACTCTGAAGAGTGTAAAAGGGACTGACTGGTGGTGTGAGTCTGTGCCCCACACTTGGTTGCTTTCTTCAGCATGTCTGACCGGATGTGCACTGTCAGGGAGGCACAGTGGGAAGCAGAGCTTCTCCCCTCTTGCGGGGCAGGCTCTTTTGCTGTCCTGGACCTTGGGTGCAAAGCTCAGTTAACTTACATTCCCCAGCCCTGGCAAAGCCTCTCTCATGTGTGTTCTCCTTCCATCTTCAGCCCCCACTGGATCCCTGTAGTCCATAGAAATCATATTTATACAAGTGACAAGCAACCAAGTAAGAGTGCTGGTGCCAGTCCATTTAATAGTTATTAGTAACACTGGTTTTTGGTCCACTTCATAAGATAAATACATCATATAGATAGATGCTAAAATTCTTCCTTCTATATCCTAGTGGCTTTTTGAAATACTGGGGAGTATACTCACCCCCTTTTGAACAAAGACTCAGGAGACCCATTTGTTTCCTTTATATATATTTCTTTTTTTCAAAGATTAATTTATTTGCTTGAAAGGCAGAATTAGGCAAGGTGGGGGAGTTTCCATCCACTGTGACTCAAATAATTAAAATAATTATTATTAAAATAATTATAATAATGGCTGCGAGATCCAGGGCACAGCTGATCCAGGTCTCCCATGTGGGTGCAGGGGCCCAAGCCCTTGGATGATCTTCTGTTGCTTTCTCAGACCATAACAGAGAGCTGAATCCCAAATGGAGCAGCTGAGACTTGAACTGGCGCACATATGGGATGCTGGCACTGCAGGTGGTGGCTTTACCCCTACACCACAGTGCCAGCCCCCTTTGTACACATTTTATGTGGTTAACCCATAAACTTGTCTAGTACTGGTCGTCATTGGCTACCTCAAGAGTTTTCCTTTTTTTTTTTTTTTTTAATATTTTAAAAGTTTTCAGATTCAGGGACCCGGTGCTGTGGTGTCATAGATTAAGCATCCCATATGGGTGCCAGTTCGAATCACGGCTGCTCCATTTTGATCCAGTTCCCTGCTGATGGCCTGGGAAAGCAGTAGAAGATTGACCGAGTGCTTGGGCCCCTGGGACCACGTGGGAAACCCAGAAGAAGCCACTGGCTCCTGGCTTTGGATTGGCCCACCTCCGGCTATCGCTGCCATTTGGGGAGTGAACCAGTGGATGTAAGAATTCTCTTTCTGTCTCTCCTTCTCTCTGTCTATAACTCTGCCTCTCAAGAAAATAAAAAAAAATCTTAAGGAAAAAAAAAGTTTCAGATTCAGTAGCACTTTGTGCTTATTATACTCTCACTTTGCAGGGCACTGTGGGAGGAATTCTGGGCTATATAAACCCATAAAACTTATTGTTCCTGCTCTAGGATCTCAGAATCAACTCAATTGAAGTGTTAATAAAACGTGAAGAGATTTGCCGTGTTACTATGTATAGTTTAGAAGTGTTTTCATTATTTAATCTTTTTTTCTTTTTTTTTTTAAATAGTATAACCCACTGATGAAAACTTGGGAAATTTTTCATGACACTGAATTTGGCAATGAGTTTTTGAAGATTAATTATTTGAGAGGCAGAGAGTCACAGAGAGAGAGGGAGAGACAGAGAGAGAGGTCCCCTATCTGCTGGTCCTCTCCTGAAATGGCCACAACAGCTGGAGCTGGGCAGATCTGCAGCCCAGTGCCAGGAGCTTCCCTGGGGTCTCCAACGTGGGCACAGGAGCCCAAGCACCTAGGTCATCCTGCACTGCCCTCTGAGGACAGTTACCAGAGTTCTAGATCGGAAGTGGAGCAACCAAGACTCCAACCAGACCATGCCCCATTGCCAGCCCTCTCCTTTTCTGTTTTGTTGTGGGAGACTTAGAAGATATTCTCTTGCCCCCATCTATGTAAGTAAATTAAAGTGTTGGGGCGTGCATCCTGATGCTCAAGTTTTTCTATTATTATTATTTTTACTTTTACTTATTTGAAAGGTAGAGTTAGGGGGTTTTGGGTAGGGAGGCAGGGAAAGAGAGACCTACCATCTGCTGGTTCACTCCTCAGAAGAGGAGTGAACATATCATATGGCCTGGGATAGCAGTAAAATATGGCCCAAGTCCTTGGGCCCCTGCACCCACATGGGAGACCCAGAAGACGTTCCTGGCTCCTGGTTTCGTATCAGTTCACCTCTGGCCATTGCGGCCATCTCGGGAGTGAACCAGCAGATGGAAGGCCTCTCTCTGTCTCTACCTCTCTCTCTAGCTCTTTTAAATAAATAAATAATTTTTTAAAAAAGGAATTTTATTAGGGGCTGGTGCTGTGGTGTAACAGGCAGAGCCACTGCCTGCAATGCCAGCATCCCATATGGGTTCTGGTTGGGGTCCCAGCTGCTCTACTTCCTATCCAGCTCTCTGCTGTGGCCTGGGAAAGCAGTAGAGGATGGCCCAAGTGCTTGGGTCCTGCACTTGCGTGGGACACCAGGAGGTAGTAATGTGCTTATTTGCGGCGCCGTGGCTTATTTGCTTATTTGCTGGCACCGCAGCTCAATAGGCTGATCCTCTGCCTTGCAGTGCTGGCACACCGGGTTCTGTCTCGGTTGCCCCTCTTCCAGTCCAGCTCTCTGCTGTGGCCCGGGAGTGCAGTGGAGGATGGCCCAAGTCCTTGGGCCCTGCACCTGCATGGGAGACCAGGAGAAGCACCTGGCTCCCGGCTTCGGATCAGCGCTGTGCGCCGGCCGCAGCGGCCATTGGAAGGTGAACCAACGGTAAAGGAAGACCTTTGTCTCTCTCTCTCTCACTGTCCACTCTGCCTCTCAAAAAAAAAAAAAAAAAAGATTTATTTATTTGAAAGAGTTATACAAAGAAGGAGAGAGGGAGAGAGAGAGAGAGAGAGGTCTTCCATCCCCTGGTTCACTGCCCCAATTGGCTGCAACGGCCAGAGCTGTGTCAATCTGAAGCCAGGAGCCAAAGACCCTATTTTGAATTATACAGCTTTATGTTTTAAGGTTTTGCAGTTTACTTGCTTTTTAATGATGTCATGTATGTGGATATTTACAACACTGTTACCAGTTAACATTTGTAATTACCGAATTCTTAAAATCTGGAAATGTTTTTTTTCTAGGTTGCCATAAAAATAATTGACAAAACTCAGTTGAATCCAACAAGTCTACAAAAGGTAAGATTGATCTAGTATCCAGTATTTAACTCATTACTTCTAGTGCTAGTTGCCATGTAATTTGTTCCTTAAAAACCTCAGTTGGTATTTTTAATTTATTTTGTTTAGTAAAGCTTCCTAGTCCTCAAATGATTACAACTTCAAATATTTAAAAATGGTTGGGTTATTAAATGTCCTTAATAGCACAAATTGAAGGATCTATTTTAAAATTCAATATTCTAAATACTAGAGCAAAAAATACAGCACAATAATATTTTCATGTAACTGATATTTGCAGGTTTGTATATATTTCTTACAGGTAATGCTGAAATCTCTTAAAATCACTTTGGTGTCATTAAACTTTTTTTTAAGGTTTATTTGGTTTATTTGAAAGAGTTACAGAGAGAGAGAGAGACCTCCCATCTGCTGGTTAACTACCCAAATGGCCACAGTGGCCAGTGTTGGGCCAGACTGAAGTCAGGAGCTTCTTCTGGGTCTCCTACATGGGTGCAGGGGCCCAAGGACTTGGGCAGTCCTCTGCTGCTTTCCCAGTTTCATCAGCAGGGAGCTGGATCAGAAATGAAGCAGCCAGGACTTGAACCGGCACCCATATGGAATGCCAGCATCACAGGTGGTGGCTTTACTCACTATGCCACAACGGTCGCTCCTGCATTAAAAATATTTAAATAAGTGTTTCTGGGGTGGCACAATGGGTTAAGCCGTCACTTGGGATACCCACATCCTATTTGAGGCATAGGTTCAGGTGCTGGGCTCTGCTTTTGATCCAGCTTCCAGCTAATGCATCTTGGGAGATGGGAATGATAACGCCAGTGCATAGTTCTCTACCACCAGCATGGGAGACCCTGGTAGGGTTCCAGACTCCTGGTTTTACATGACCCATCCATAGCTGTTGGGAGCATTTGGGGGAATTAGCCAGTGAATGGAAGGTCTCTTATTGCTGTTCTTTTCAAGTAAATGGAAATAAGTAAAAAATAAACATTTACAAAAGTGTTTCTTTATAAATTGCAGCCCAAAATGGGCCTAAGGCTTTTCCTTTTTTTTTTTTTAAAGGATATGTTTGTTTATTCATTTATTTATTTGAAAGGCATAGGAAGAATTTCCATACACTGGTTCTCTTCCCTAAATTTCTGCAAAAGCCAGGTCTGGGCCCGGTCAAAGCCAGGAGCCGGGAATCCCATCCTAGTCTTCCACATGGATAGCAGAGGCCCGAATACTTAGCCATTATTTACCGCCTTCCCAGTTACCTGCTGCAATGGCCCGGGCTGGACCAGACCAAAGCCAGGAGCCTGGAATTCCATCTAGTTCTCTCCATGTGGATGGCATGGTTCCCAAGCACTCAGGCCATCTGCCGTTGCCCTACCAGGCAAATTAGTAGGGAGTTGGATTGGAGGTGCAGGCAGGACTGGAACTGGTATTCATATGGGGTGCAGATATTGCAGATAGTTGCTTAACTCACTGCACCACATCACTGGCCTCTCAAATAAATAAATTAAAATATATATATATATATTTATTTATTTGAAAGAGTTAACAGAGAGAGGTAGAGAAAGAGAGAGTTGTCTTCCATCTGCTGGTTCACTCCCCAATTGGCCGCAATGGCCGGAGCTGCGCTGATCCGAAACCAGGAGCTGCTTCTGAGTCTCCCACGTGGGTGCAGGGGCCTAAGCACTTGGGCCATCTTCTGTTGCTTTCCCAGGCCACAGCAGAGAGCTGGATCGGAAGAGGAGCACCCAGGACTAGAACCGGTGCCCATATAGGATGCCTATGCTGCACCGGCCCAATAAATTTTTAAATTAAGAGAACCTGTACCTTCAGTGTTGCTGCTTCTTTATAGGGAACTTTTAAATTTATTGTTACACTTGTTTTTGCTTGGCAAAAAATAATATAGCTTGGTATTTGAATTGTACATTGAGAATATTATAATGTTTTCTTTTTTTCACTGAGCTTTTTATTTGTTTGAATGGCAGAGAGTGAGAAACAGAGATGTTTCCCACTAGCTTATTCCAGAAATGCCTTTAATAGCCTTGGTGGTAACAGGGCAAAGCCAGGAGCTTGGAAATCCACCTAAGTCTCCCATTTGAGTGGTAGAGACTCAAGTATCCAAAGTACTGTCTCCTGCTGCCTTCATGGTATACGTTCGCAGGAAGCTGGATCAGAAGTGGAAACTTGACTCAAATGCAGGCGCTGTAGTGTAGCATGCAGGCATGTTAACCATTGAGCCAAATGCCCACTCCTAAAATGTATTTTTAATTGAACTAGTGATTTGTTATTATTTCAAAAAATCATCAAAGAATTAAATGTTTTAAATGGGTTAGATTTAAAGCATAATATGGACCCATTTGCAGCAAAGTAAGAAACTACAAACAAATTAGATCTTTGAGAGAGAGCCACAGGAGTGATGTTAACCAGAGTCACTGTCACAGTTAGTGCTCACTGTGTGCTAGGTGTCCTACGTCTCTGCATGTTATGACCCTTTAGTCAGGGTGACAGCTGGGTATGCACTGTTCCCCCTACTGAGGGAAGAGTGGAGCTGACTAGGTAATGTAGCTCCAGAAGTCATTTTTTTCCCCTTTATGTAAGTAAAGTTTTTTGATTAATCAAATTCTTTTTTAAAAAAAGATTTATTTATTTATTTGAAATGCAGAGTCAGAGGGGGTAGGGGGTCCTCCATCTACTGGTTCACTTCCCAGATGGCTGCAACAGCTGGAGCTGCGCCAATCCAAAGCCAGGAGCCAGGAGCTACCTCCTGGTCTCCCTCATGGGTTCAGGGGCCCAAGGACTTGGGCCATCCTCTACTGCTTTCCCAGGCCATAGCAGAGAGCTGGATCAGAAGTAGAGCAGCTAGGATCCCATATGGGATCCCATATGGGATGCTGGCATTGCAGGCAGTGGTTTTGCCTGTTACTTGACAGCACTGGCTTCTACTCAATTTTTTTTTTTTTAAGATTTTTTTTTTTTATTTGAAAGAATTACAGAGAGAGTTAGAGACAGAGAGCAGTCTTCCATCCGCTGGTTTACTCTCCAGATGGCCGCAATGGCCAGAGCTATGCTGATCCAAAGCCAGGAACCAGGAGCTTCTTCCTCGTCTCCCATGCAGGTGCAGGGGCCCAAGCACTTGGGCCACCTTCTACTGCTTTTCCAGGCCATTTGCAGCAGAGAGCTGGAGCAGAAGAGGAGCAGCCGGGACTCGAACTGGTGCCCTTATGGGATGCCAGTGCTTCAGGCCAGGGCTTTAACCAGCTGCGCCACAGCTCCGGCCCCCCAATCAAATTCTTAATGACTACACACACCTATGATGTTGTGTGTACTTTTCATAGTAATGATTAAGCAATTTTTAAAAATCTGTGTTTTATAGATGAGTGAATTGAAGTTCTCTGAGATTGTAGCTTACTCAGCCATGCAGTGAATTACTGAACTAGCATTAGGACGCAGTGCTGTGATTTCCTGTAGCCTAGCTTACTCGTGCCTTCTTTGAAGAAGCATTCCTAGCATCTTCCCAGTGGGAAGGGCAGCAGAGGAACATACTGATGTACCCCTTGCATGGGATGCATAACCAATACAGTCTTTCAATTCTGTTTTGTTAGTACCAAACACTAAATTAATGTTTCCTGATATTATCCTAATCCTTGGACTCTAGGCTACTAGATCCTCAGGTTTTGGAGAATGGGAGAATTTCTTACATATCATGTGAAATGATATGATAGTACCAATATTTGATACTTTTTTATTTTTGTAGAGTTGTATTATCTATTTGAAAGGTAGAGTGACAGGGAGATACAGATCTCATCTGCTGATTTATTCCCCCAGTGAACGCCAACAACCAGGGCTGGGTCAGATTGAAGCGAGGAGCCTGGAACTCCGGAATCATTCTGTGTGTGTGCTGGTGGTGCACTTGTGCAAATTTTTTTCTTTTTTTTATGGTTTTTTGTTCTTAAGAAAACATTTATTTATTTATTTGAAAGGCAGAGTGACGGAAGGAGGGAGGATTTGAGAATGTGTGTGCACATTTCCATCTGTTTTTTACTCCCCAAGTGGCTGCAATGGCCTGTGCAGGACCAGGCTGAAGCCAAGAGCTTGGAACTCTTACCTGGACTCCCACATGAGTGCCAGGGCACAAGGACTTGGGCTATCTTTTGCTGCTTTCCCAGGTGTATTAGCAGGACGGTGGATCAGAAGTGGAACAACCAGGACTTGAAATGGCATTCCTGTGTGGGATGCCAGCATCTCAAGCAGTGTTTTAACCCACTGTGCTACAAGTCTAGCCTCCTGTGCAAGTTTCTTTTTTTCTTTCTTTTTTATTTTTTAATGATTTGATTATTTAAAAGGGAGAGAGACAGATAGGTGGGCGGGGGGGTCTTCATCTGCTGGTTCACTCCCTAGATGGCCACAACTGATGGAGCTGGGCTGGAGCCAGGAGCCTGGAGCTTCTTCCAAGTCTCCCACTTGGGTGTAGAGGCCCAAATACGTGGGCCATCTTCTGTTTCCGAGGCCATAGCAGATAGCTGGATTGGAAATGGAGCAGCTGGGACTCGACTGGCACCCAAATGGGATGCTGGCAGTACAGGCGGTGACTTTATCCACTGTGCCACTACACCACAGTAGTGGAGGTTTTTTAAGGGTACATACTCAGTAGTAGAATTCTTGGCTCACAGGGAATATTTATCTCCATTTGTTAAAAACCAAAGTGTTTCCAAAGCAGTTGTGCTGATTTATAGTCCTTTGGTGGCATGTAAGACAGGATGCAAGAATGTTCTTCCTTATCATAGTTTTTCTCTAATTTTTTAGTTCTTGCCACTAATCTGGTGGATATTAAAAAAATGATATTTTACTGAGTTTTAATTTCAACATTTTCCTGATTGCTGAAGAGTAACAGCATCTTTTCATATATATATATATATATATATATATTTTTAAGATTTATTTATTTATTTGAAAGGCAGAGTTACTTCACTCCACTTCCGATCCAGCTCTTTGCTATGGTCTAGGGGAGCAGTAGAAGA